ACTTCTCTGTTGGGTCCCAGGAGTACATTTACTAATGTACATACAGTATATTGGGAGCACTTGGGAGAGTATATTTTACTCTCCCAATACTTCTTTAAAAGTGATCAGGTAGCGATATAGTGCCCAGGTCACTTTTACTAAATAGCCAAAAACATGCTGTGCAAAATGCTTCATTAATGAGCTTGTTTTAACCCATCCAATGCTATTAAATAGACAGGGACTGCTGACACTTGTAGTGCCCTCACACACACTCAGACCCAGATACACACAGTGTGACTTACCAGAGCCAACAAGACCAGAGGCAGAGGCGAGGAGGAACGTGCAGGCGGGAGAAACCTGCTGCCGAGAAGGGAGGTGCTGGGTCCTGGTGCTGGGTTTTTTCTTGCTGAGCTCAAGCTAGGGATAAAATAAAAAGAAGTCTCATTGCAATGGTACAAAACTTGGGACTGGCAGGCCTAAAAAAAAATATTGTGGCAAGACGTTTCTTGTAATTGACATATGTGTCCTAGGAGGGGGGGGGGCAATGCTACTCCTCCATTGATACAGTTACAGTGAGTGAGCGGTGTCACCCTAGGACAGGAAGTGTGTTACTTGCAGGATCACCAGGTGAAAATATAAGGAAGAGCTTGAAAAAGGAAAACTAATGCAGCCCCCATATCTAAAGACTAATAAGCTACAATGTTATATTTTAGTTTTTTGGGGTTAGATATGCCTAAACTATAACCATACACAAAGTCTAATGTGATAGTAATAAATATTATGAGCAATAGTGCCGTCACACCAAAACTGCCATGCGGTCACTTTATTAATATACAGTACACCAAGCTTCAACCAACATGTCTGCCCCAACTTATATCTGTTAATTCATGCTGTCACAGTGGAAGGATGTGCGGTTTCCGTGTCTGGCACACATTGTAAAACCATTTTGTTTGCATTTATTTGGCAGGAGCAACAAAAATAATTCCAGTCGAGGCGGCAGCTCCTGCGGCTGAGCCAGAAGCGGCCTCCCAGCCAGCTGAGCCAGAGCAGAATCTGAAGAGGGGTTACCAGGAGTACGCTATCCAGCAAGTCCCTCAGGAACAGTCCTCGAATTCAAACAGGTAGCGCTAATACTTTGTACACAGCTACTGTGTGTGTGATGCTTCTTCCTATTGTGTCTAAGATCTCATACAAATACCCAGCAATCCATTCATGCTTAAAGTGCACCTGTGCCCAGGTTATAGACAGTTTAAACTTCTTATATTTTGCCTTCCCTGGCTCATTTTTTTTCCCTCTTGCATCAACATGCTTATGATTTTTTTAAATAAAACTTTTCAGTTTTCATTCCATACCATATTTTAGATTTAGTGGGGTCTTTACTTGAGTTCTGTGCTTCTCTATGCAATGCAGGCAGATCTTGCTGGTGGGAGGGCTGGCAGGGTTTACATTGCTGTCAGGATTAGCTGTGGACGCACGCTGCCAGAGCCAATAGTGATGAGTTGTTTTACCTTTAGCAGCCGCCGTTCCCATAAGGCAAGCACGCCTACCGGTACTAGGATGCCCCCAGGACTTAAACTATTTGCTCTCATCAGGTGATGCCACAGGGTGGCACCAAGGAGAAGTACTGACTGATGTCAAGGTACAAGACAAACAGAAAGCAAGACACAAGACAGGAACAGGAAACAAATACAAGACAGGAGCTAATACAAGATAAATACAGGAAACAAGGCAGGTATAGGAGCCAAGGCAAGACTTAGGATACAAGATCTAGGCAGGACTGGGATTCAGGATCGGGATACAGGCGTGTGTAGACAGGGCAAAGACAAGGATGGAACGATCACAAGCCCAGAGCTCTGGGCTTGTGATGCTTAAATAGAGCACAACTAACCAATGTCCAGGCTGATTAGCCTGATCAGCCTGCAGCTGAGTGGACTATGGTAGGTGCAATTACAAGAGGCAACCACCAGATGGGGCTGAGTGGTTGCGACAGGGATAGGAGCATTTCACATGTTCCTAACAATGGCTTCCTGACAACATTGCAGCACCCTGCTTCGGTACTTTTTTTCCTGAACCCCTGATACAGCTAGTGGGCTGACTCTTGGAGTAAGTTATGCCTTGATCCCTCAATGGGTGGATGTCAGTCTGGGCATTCCTAGCAGACAAACCCAAGGTAACACCCACAGGTCATGCTCAGCCTCCGTGATTGAAAGAACTGAAATTCAGCTAATTAAAGGGGCGGGGCCAGGGACAGTCAGTCTCTAGCTGTTTGTACTGTGAAATAATTCATTCTTGCAGATCCTAATGGATCACAACAGAGAATTTTAAATTTGTTTCAGTTGATTGTTTTTATAGTTTAGAAACGCCTACAATTTAAGGTCTGGCAGGCTGCCAAGATTTTTCAGCGATAGACTATAATAGGAAACGGCTAAGATTTCAGTGCCTGTGGGGCAAACTTTAAAAAATAATTTCTCCACAATGCCAGTAGCTACAAAGGTGAGTTATTTTAAAGTGATTTCACTGATTGAGACTGTAAGTACTTCAGTATTCAGTGTGCACCATTTTAAAATGACACTGGGATGAGTAGCCGATATCCCAGCACCATTTTAAAAGAGAACTGTGGCTAAACCTTTTTTTGCCATAGTTCTGTTCAGGGTCACAGGAGGACATTTACTAATGCCCTCCTGTGACCTAAAACTCAGAATATAGCAGGCTATTGGCCACTATGTGCTGACAGTGTGGAGCCGTGCCATATGCTTGATTCCACTCCAGACCTCCAGGCACATTCGTTGAACAGTTGCATTCACCTGACTCCAAAGACCAGCTTATCCCTGGTCTAGAGGCTCATGAATCCAGCCCTGAAGTCTGGGAAATCCTTGCTTCCACTAGTCTGTAGGATTCTTATAACTGACGCCAGCCTACCAGACAGGGGGGGTATTGGACACCCTATTAGTACAAGGGAAGCTTGCCTCCCAATCGTTATACTAGAACACAGAACGATTTGGCTCTCCCTTCAACAAGGAACCTCTTTGTTGCACTTTCATCTAACAATGATTCAGTTGGACCGCGCCACTGCAGCGTTGTACACCAACCATCATGGAGGAACCAGAAGTCTCACAGCTGAAAGAGAAGTTAGGCAGATCTTCCAGTCGGGTTCGCTGTGCTCATTCCAGGGGCAGAATTTCTCAGTCGACAAAATCTGGACTCTAGGGACAAGTATCCTTATCCATTGTCCTTATCTTTCAGCTGAGAGGAGGTACAGGGCATCCATATCCAGTATCCTTATCTTTCAGCTGAGAGGAGTCACAAGGCATCCGTATCCAGTGTCCTTATCTTTCAGCTGAGAGGAGTCACAAGGCATCCTTATCCAGTGTCCTTATCTTTCAGCTGAGAGGAGGTACAGGGCATCCATATCCACTATCCTTATCTTTCAGCTGAGAGGAGGTACAGGGCATCCTTATCCAGTATCCTTCTCTTTCAGCTGAGAGGAGTCACAAGGCATCCTTATCCAGTATTCTTCTCTTTCAGCTGAGAGGAGGTACAGGGCATCATTATCCAGTATTCTTCTCTTTCAGCTGAGAGGAGTTACAAGGCATCCTTATCCAGTATTCTTCTCTTTCAGCTGAGAGGAGTCACAAGGCATCCTTATCCAGTATTCTTCTCTTTCAGCTGAGAGGAGTCACAAGGCATCCTTATCCAGTATCCTTATGTTTCAGCTATTGAGGGGAGTCACAGGGCATCCTTATCCAGTATCCTTCTCTTTCAGCTATTGAGAGGAGTCACAGGGCATCCTTATCCAGTATCCTTCTCTTTCAGCTATTGAGAGGAGTCACAGGGTATCCTTATCCAGTATCCTTCTCTTTCATCTGAGAGGAGTCACAGGGCATCCTTATCCAGTATCCTTCTCTTTCAGCTATTGAGAGGAGTCACAGGGTATCCTTATCCAGTATCCTTCTCTTTCATCTGAGAGGAGTCACAGGGCATCCTTATCCAGTATCCTTCTCTTTCAGCTATTGAGAGGAGTCACAGGGTATCCTTATCCAGTATCCTTCTCTTTCATCTGAGAGGAGTCACAGGGCATCCTTATCCAGTATCCTTCTCTTTCAGCTATTGAGAGGAGTCACAGGGTATCCTTATCCAGTATCCTTCTCTTTCATCTGAGAGGAGTCACAGGGCATCCTTATCCAGTATCCTTCTCTTTCAGCTATTGAGAGGAGTCACAGGGTATCCTTATCCAGTATCCTTCTCTTTCATCTGAGAGGAGTCACAGGGCATCCTTATCCAGTATCCTTCTCTTTCAGCTATTGAGAGGAGTCACAGGGTATCCTTATCCAGTATCCTTCTCTTTCATCTGAGAGGAGTCACAGGGCATCCTTATCCAGTATCCTTCTCTTTCAGCTATTGAGAGGAGTCACAGGGTATCCTTATCCAGTATCCTTCTCTTTCATCTGAGAGGAGTCACAGGGCATCCTTATCCAGTATCCTTCTCTTTACTAACAATGATTCAGTTGGACCGCGCCACTGCAGCGTTGTACACCAACCATCATGGAGGAACCAGAAGTCTCACAGCTGAAAGAGAAGTTAGGCAGATCTTCCAGTCGGGTTCGCTGTGCTCATTCCAGGGGCAGAATTTCTCAGTCGACAAAATCTGGACTCTAGGGACAAGTATCCTTATCCATTGTCCTTATCTTTCAGCTGAGAGGAGGTACAGGGCATCCATATCCAGTATCCTTATCTTTCAGCTGAGAGGAGTCACAAGGCATCCGTATCCAGTGTCCTTATCTTTCAGCTGAGAGGAGTAACAAGGCATCCTTATCCAGTGTCCTTATCTTTCAGCTGAGAGGAGTCACAAGGCATCCTTATCCAGTGTCCTTATCTTTCAGCTGAGAGGAGGTACAGGGCATCCATATCCAGTATCCTTATCTTTCAGCTGAGAGGAGGTACAGGGCATCCTTATCCAGTATCCTTCTCTTTCAGCTGAGAGGAGTCACAAGGCATCCTTATCCAGTATTCTTCTCTTTCAGCTGAGAGGAGGTACAGGGCATCATTATCCAGTATTCTTCTCTTTCAGCTGAGAGGAGTTACAAGGCATCCTTATCCAGTATTCTTCTCTTTCAGCTGAGAGGAGTCACAAGGCATCCTTATCCAGTATCCTTATGTTTCAGCTATTGAGGGGAGTCACAGGGCATCCTTATCCAGTATCCTTCTCTTTCAGCTATTGAGAGGAGTCACAGGGCATCCTTATCCAGTATCCTTCTCTTTCAGCTATTGAGAGGAGTCACAAGGCATCCTTATCCAGTATCCTTCTCTTTCATCTGAGAGGAGTCACAAGGCATCCTTATCCAGTATCCTTCTCTTTCATCTGAGAGGAGTCACAAGGCATCCTTATCCAGTATCCTTCTCTTTCAGCTATTGAGAGGAGTCGCAGGGTATTGTAGAAAACGCCTCTAATTTCATCCAAAGTCCCTGAGACACGGAACCGCAGCCAAACAGCTTATTTGCGATCATTTGCCCCGCGAGAGCTTTAATCTAATGTGAGTAAGTTGAAGGTAAACTGATGAAACACCTCAAAGTGTCTCTGACTGGCGGCGGAACTGTCAGGTGTTGAATTGATGCAAAGTAATCACGGTCGCTGGCACGGAGCAGCTTGTCTTTCGCACCAGATTTGAGAGCTCGCTCTCCGGAGAGGTTTAAATTCAGCGGCTTTAATTTCACTTAGATGTAGATGAGAGCCTCGCACATAGTTCAGCAATCAGAGCTGCTCCCTTGGCACGCAGAACTTTTAGATTTACAATTAGGAAGTTCGGCAAGTAACAGAGGGGGGGGGGGGGATGTAAGGAAAATGTATTTGCCATATGAAATGGGTAAACTTCATTAGACAGACGCAGGAGGATCTCCCAGGTATATTCCTATAAAGAATTAATGTTCCGTCATCGCTTTTCCAACAGGACTGCAGTTAATTTAATAACGCAGTGCAGATAGCATTAGCTTTAATAGTCTGCTCCAAGTCGGGTTAATAAAAGCTAATACCTGATCAGCTGTTATGGGTTATGCAATTTTGTAAAGTGCTTTTTTTAAATTAGCCGTTCGGTCTTTTGGCACGCCGTTTTTCAGTCCTTGCTGTCAGCTGCCAAGTGTCATCAGCTCACTGCTGGACTCAAGTTAAAGCTGAACTGAAGGCAAATGGCTTAATACACAGTTGAGGTACACATAAGAAATGCTGCTTTTCCTAACAAAGGATTTGTTATAATGTCTATTCAGCCCTAAGATTCACACAGCTTTGCCACCCTGTTTGGGAGAACAGGAGGCATGCAACACTTGGGCCTCATTCTCTCGGGGCGTGCCGCTCTTAGGGCCTGTTCACACGACGTCAGTTTTCTGTGCTGACCTGATCCGTACGCTCCTGAATATATATATATATATATATATATATATACCATTTTTTTTTACTGGAATGCATCAAAAACGCGGCAAAAATGTGGCAAAACACATAGCACCGCGCCTGCAGATCCGGACCTGATCAGGACCTGAAACTCATGTGAACAGGCCCTTATAGCATAGGGCTGTTTTTTTATGCACCCAAAGCTGCAGGAACGAGCAGACGGGCAGCTCATGTAACTTTTTGGAGACACAGGAGATGTGCACCCTCACATGCTGCTTCCTGCAGCTCCACGTTTTGACTGCCTCAGGAGCAGACATGACAGATACAGGACTGTACACAGTCTGTATGTGGCTGTGGAAAGCATCATGTGAGGGCGCACAGCTCCTGCATCTCTATAGCGTTACATAAGTTTCCCTCATGCTTCTTCCTGCATCTCTGGGCACATAAAAAATGGCTCTTTTGCTTTGTACGGGACAGCACACCCCGTGTGAATGAGACTTTAGAGATCTCAGCCCTTTCACCAGGCTATGATTGGATGGTGAAAGGAGGAGCAGTCGACTGATTAACCCACTTCTCTGTCACTTTGCTCTATCCCTCATGTGTCTTTTTAGCACATGAGAATGGCAGCAAATCTGATTGGCTCCTTGTGCTGCCTTTCTCTATTTCAATCTGAGCTCTGCTGTACAGAGGACTTCCAAGTCAGGTTCAGGTACTTACACTACTTGTATTGTTCATAAAAAAAATACATTTAAGATTCTGTTATTGAATACAGAGCTGCAATAATTTGTGCGTTTTATATCTGCCTGGAGTTCAGCTTTAAAACTCAAATAAGGGCTAAATTAGTTGATTGATTGGCATGATTGTTTACATCCTGCGGTGGACGTCTCTTTCTCCTGGCGTGCCTGCTCAGTTCATCCCTATTGACTTCTGTTGGTCTTGTCTACCTCTGTCTTCTGGCTGGTAGATGGGCCCCATGGAAGTCAATGGGGATGTACTGCCCAGGCGTGGCCAAGGGAAGAGATCCGTCACCGCATATAAACAATCAACAGAGGTCGGGCTTGTTGGAACTTGATATGTCTTCATCTGTGCACTAGACGGGTTGGAGGGGTAACATTCCCTTAAAGGGGCCTGAAGGATAAGTGAACTTTGTTCTAAAGGGTTTTGTAAAGTATATGAAGGTGGTTATGAAAAATGTCAAAGTTGGGGCTTGCCCTTAGGGCCCTGTCAAACCATCAAGAGTGCGTTCGGTCTCTGGTACGCAACCCGGCCAGCTCACTTTTTTTTGGGGACGTGGCGGTGCATTGAACTCAATGGCACAGCAGCCATACCCCCCTGCCCGGTGCAATTGCCGGCACACGAACACGTGACACATTAGTGCCTGCATTCCAGTCCAGTGCGATCTGCAGCATTTTTTGCAGATTGCACTGGACCAGAACGCAGGCACTAATGTGCCACGCATTTGGGTGTCGCTATCGCGCGGGGGGCAGGCGAGGGTGCGATGCCATTGAGTTCAATGCACCGTCACACCCGCCCCAAAAGAAAGTGAGCCGGCCGGGTTGCGTTTCAGTGCGTTCCAGAGGCCGAACGCACTTTTGATGGTGTGACTGGGCCCTCAAAGGTATAGCTTAAATTTTACCTAACTCAAATTTTCCTAATTTTTCCAGATTGGCCTCAACCCAACTTAAAATTTTCACCTGCGAATACTGCAATAAAGTCTTCAAGTTCAAGCACTCCCTGCAAGCCCACCTACGAATCCACACCAATGAAAAGCCTTACAAGTGCCCGCTCTGCAACTACGCCAGCGCCATCAAGGCCAACCTCAGCGTCCACATGAGGAAGCACACGGGGGAAAAGTTCAGCTGTGACCACTGTTCATTCAGCTGCCTTAGCAAAGGTCACCTGAAGGTCCACGTGGAGCGAGTTCACAAGAAGATCAAACAGCACTGCCGCTTCTGCAAGAAGAAGTACTCCGACGTCAAGAATCTCATCAAGCACGTCAAAGAGACGCACAATCTACTGGACAAAAAGGTGAAGGAGACCTTCGACGAGCTGAGATTGCTCACCAGAGAAGGAAAGCGGCAGCTCCTCTACGACTGCCACATTTGCGAACGGAAATTCAAAAACGAACTGGAACGGGACCGCCACATGTTGGTCCATGGTGATCAGAGACCCTTCGCTTGCGAGCTCTGCAACCACGGCGCCACCAAATACCATTCCCTTGAGCTGCACATGCGCAGGCACCCCTTCGTCTATGTCTGCTCAAACTGTTTAAAAAAATTTGTGAGCACCGTCAGGCTCAAAGCTCACATCAAAGAAGCCCACCCCGACGCAGCGGAGGAAACGTTGCTTAATGACTCCATCGGTCAGAGTTTTTGTCTACTAGAACCTGGTAGCGACATCCAGCAAGAGGCCTTGGGGGACATTGAAACTAATGTCCAGGAGGACACCACCGCACCTTCCGCTCTAGATCTACAAATGCAAACGCAGGAAACTATTATGGAACAGCCTCAGAATTTGAAACCGCACAATGATGGTTTGCCTTCGGAGAAGACAACAGAGCTGCTTGTCTCCGGGAGCGAGCACGCAAACCATTTAACAGATTGCACTCCAGAAAAGCTTACAGACTCTTCCATCGACTCTAAGGGAGTGTCGAGCGAGGAACTTTTACATCAGTTGACAGAGAAAGAGAACAATCATCTATATGCTAACCTCGGAGACGTTCAGAGAAGAGATAATGTTTCGGGAGCAGTGGGTCAAGTCACGGCTGAAAGCTCTCTGTTGAAAGATGGAGAGTTGGATAGTTTGCCGAAAGACGTTTCCCTTGATCAAAGCGGCGGCAGGGAAAGCACGGGGGAGAGCCTTAGTAATGAGAGCCACCAGCAGACTCCTGTTCCTGTTAATTCAGCAGGAGCTGGCGCTTTTATGGCCATCTTGAATGGACTACAAAAGAGACAACTGAATATGGATTTACTTCAGAAAATAAGGAAGGTTTATGGGGAACTGGAGTGTGAATACTGCGGTAAGGAGATTTCCACTTTTGTTGAGAAAGAGACAATAATCCTCGGTTCAGTTTTGGTTTTAGGGTTACCTGTCTTTTTTCTTTTTAAGAACTTATTCTTCCTGATTTTATGAGTGGTAGGCAGGAGTGACGATACCATCTGAGCAGCTCCACAAGGACCCTCTTGGTGTTAGGGGTCCATTTATACTAGGGTTGCACCGATACCGTTTTTTTTGTTATCGAGTACGAGTACCAATATTTCGCTTTCGGTACTCGCCAACACCGAATACCGATATTGGTGCTTCCGCTTGCCTTGAGCCGGCTTCCTGAGCAATGACATGCCGCCCGGCTTCGTGATTGCCCGGTAAGCCGGCTCCAGGTTGTTTGGCTGGCTTGATTGTGTTCGGCCGGGAAACATGGAGCATGGAGCCTGATTAACCGGGAAGCCGGGCAGCGAGTAATGACCCACCAGTAATACGCTGTCACAGGAGCCCGAGGTGGCGGTAAGGGGGAGGGGTCAGCTGTCAAAATAGACCAAGCTCTCCTCCCTGCACCGCCGGCTCAGATGTGACAGCGAGTTAGGATGGAGAGCGGTACAAGCAGTCAGCAATCAGTGTTCGCTGAATGTTTGTTTGTAAATAACTGGACATAGTATGAGTTACTATGTACCAGTTATGAATGATTAGGAAGTGCTCTACATCACTTCCTGTTCATTCATGAATGTGGACATGGTAACATATCCACACGTTATGAATAGACAGGAACACTCAGTATAGTAGATTCCTGATCATTGATAACAGGGGCTACAGAAATGTTCTCAATCTCTTTTCCTAATTTTAAAAGGGAACTATCAGGGGTCTGTTTAGACCCCTAATATTTCACCGAAGCCCCCTACAGTAAAGTTAAAAAAAATATTTAAAAAAATGTAAGCAGGTTTGAAATTTTTTTTTTTTCGGTTTTGGTTTAAAATGTTCATTTCGGTGCACCTCTAGTATTGTGGTCCTGGAATGGTCTATTTTTTCTAATCGCAGCTCAACTGAATGCAGATTGATGCAATGCCATTAAAAATCAATTACATGCAACTAATGTGTTTGTAAATGTGCTCTAAATGTGTATAAACGCAGGTTTGATGCCACTAGTGTGAATGAGGCTTTAATGTAAAAAAAATAAACAAAGGCTCCCTTTCAGTTCAGAGTAGTGTATGCTCTCAATCCATTCCCAGCATTTGTAAGCTCTTAGATGTGAGCGACGGAAGAAGAATATATAGAGAGGAGGGTATGTATGTGTCTACCTATTGCTGTGCGTACTTACAGATTATAGACAGTTGCGGATCTACAGTTCCTCTATGAAAACATTCACCCGTTCCACTATAGTAGGGCGGCTGTCTGTTTTCTGGTGTTGAGGAACTGGTCTTCTGGCTGCCAATGCCTCAGGAGGCCTTTTTGATTTTAGATACACACTGATAATTGAAGGGCCACCCAGAGGGGAGGCCTGGACTCCGGAGATACACATACTGTTGTAAGTAGATAAGATTTCACTCTGAAAGGGGTTATTGCTCAACTCTCATCAGATGTGTATAAAGCTGCCGGGTTCATCGGAGCATCTCCAACGTCCTTCTGATATTGACGGAAATGTGCATTTTAGTTCCAAGTGGGGTTAGATACGAGAGAGATTGCATTTTATAGATCTTTTCTTGAAGATAAAAGGATATTGACATTTTGTGAGTATGAGACTTTTGTTCCGGCCCTCTTAAGTGGGGGAAAAAAAAAGTTCAGGTCCTAAAGCTGGCCACGCACCTTGAGTGTTTTCTTTAAAACTTTCAATTCCTTCATCCATGCTGACAGCTTATATGGGGGATCCTTCACCCCCCACCCCGGGTGGGCCGTTGCCAGAATAACCCAATCGTCACCTATGGCCAATTTTGGGTGTGATCGCTTTTGCGAGCGCGCACAATTTTAAGACTTGTTTGGTGTCTATTTACCCGACATGACCCCGTCTTTTTTATATTTGACCAAAAATATGGGTAAGAATAAATGTTTTTTAACATAACGTAGGGGAAACATTTTTTTTCTAAATTTACTGTACTTTTTTCATTATATAGTAAAAAATAACTGCCCCCCCCTCCCAGTGGTGCTTATACACTGAGTGGCCAGATTATTATGACCACCCCATCAGTACTTCGTTGGGCCACGAGATGACTCCACGAGATGACTTTGTTGGGCTGCCTCGTGACTCCACGAGATGATGAAAGGTGATGCGAGGAATCAGACACTGCACTGTTGCCCTTCTGTTGTCTTGTACCAGTCTTGCCACTCTCCGTTCTGCCCTAACATTGACTAGTCGCTGACGGCCACAATTCGCACGTTCAGACCCAGATTTTCGGCTGACAGTCCAGTCTTTAAACACTTTAACAATGAGCCCCTCTTGAACATTTAATGAATTCTGCTGTTTTGCTGATACTCGCTCCATGGCTCCGAGCGCCAACAATCATCCCACGTTCAAAGGCTGTTACATCGCGTTGTTTCCCCGTATCTTCAGAAACCAATCACTTCTACTGTCGTGGTAAACAACCTGCTTCCCTATTTATAATGGTCTGGCCCTCTAGCAACTTCAGCGCAAAATTATAGCTAATTATAGCCAATTTGCCTACAAACGTCAGGTGGTCATAATAATCTGGCCACTCAGTGTATACCACCAAACGAAAGCTCTATGTGTCACAAAATTTTTTTAACATAAATTGCAAGGCTATAGTGTGGTCATGCTGACTGGTGAAATTTTTGACTGACTGGTGAGATACCCTAAAATATTTCAAGCCCTGGTTATTCACTTGTATTCTCTCCCGTTTAGAAATGTCACCCCATTGTCAGACAGTAAGGCCCTCGTGAAGGCTGAGACCTGTCTCCTGCCTGAGCTAAGGGCTGATAACTGACTTTAGGCAGGAGAAAGGTGGATTTACAGCCGCATACTTTGATCTGACAGAGAGAAAAAACGAGCAAATAATAAAAAATCCAGCAATCCCTGAGGGGTAAGGCTGTATTGTTTTAACAATTTAAAGGTGGAGATTCAGATTATTGCAAATGCCCATCGGTGACTGGTTCTTCTGCAAGCAGACTTTCTCTTGGCCTTGTCTTTTATTTCCTGTTTATGACTTGCTGTCATATGTGATTTATGTTGCCATTCTACATTTACTTGCAGGCAAGCTGTTCTGGTATCAGGTACATTACGACATGCACGTCAGAACACACACGAGAGAACATTTATACTTCTGCTCCCAGTGCAGCTACTCGTCTATCACCAAAAACTGCCTGAAACGCCACGTCATCCAGAAACACAGCAACATGTCCCTCAAGTGCCCGGCGCAAGGCTGCAACTACTCCAGTCCAGACAAGTACAAGCTGCAGGCACACCTCAAGATACACACGGACCTGGTAAGCCCAGTTAGACATATATGTAAAGGTCAATTCTGCTTCAAGGTTAATGTTTTGCCCGGCTATGGAAATTCAAGTATGTACATATTCTATAAACCTCGGTGGCTGCAGGCACTGGGGAGAAATTCATCCTCAAAAAATCACATCAAAAGCAATGACGTTGTGAAGGTTCACTCAGCAGCTCAGCACCGTCCTCTAAACAGGGACTCGGCTGCTTAGCTCACATTGTAACCACTACAAGCAATTACAGCTTAGCATAGCAATGCCATAGCAGCTCAGCTCCCTACGCTCTTATGGTGAGCTATTCTGGGAGGGTGGGGATGAATAGCTGAGTCAATTGTTGGGGAGCTGAGCTGCTAAGTCACTGCTGGAAGGGGGGTACAGGGAAAGCTTAGCTATTGAGTTACTGTTAGGATGGGAGAGCAGAAGTCTAGCTATGGAGTCACTGCTGTGATTGGGAAGCTAAGCTGGTGAGTCATGCATGGGGGTGCCAATCTGCTAAGTTGCTGCTGGGAGGGGAAGCAGAGTGTTCTGGGCTGTTCAGTCACTGCTGGGGGGGGGTAAGTGAATTCAGATTCTGAGTCACTGCTGGGCGTAATGAGCAGGGTGAGCTGAGCTGCCTAGTCACTGCTGCGATGGGGAAGCACATTGAGCTGGGCTGCTGAGTCAACGCTTGGGGTGGAGTTGGGGGTAAGTGAACTCAGATGCTAAGTCACTGCTGGGAGTAATGATAAGGCTGAGCTGAGCTGCCAAGTCACTGGATGGGGGGGGGGGGGGGG